AATCAGTGGATGCGATAATCTATCAGTTCTTGAAGAATACGTTGAGATGAAATCGCTTTCAATCTGAACACTTAATTACTGCTTATGTTAAACAGTTTTCTTAATGCTATAAATTATAGTAAACAATAATTAATAAAATGTTAATAAATAGCTTTTATTAATACATTTGTCACGCAATCGAATTACATGTTTTGTATTTTGAGAGAAATATTACAATAAAATAGTGGATCTAAATGTTAAAAGTAATTTAATAATAGATTTTTGTATTCGCTTTGGTATTACATAAGACTTGTATTGAATGTGAACTTAAAGTTCCAAATATTTATAATTTATTGATTGATATAAATGTGTTATAAATGACTAGAAAGGACTGTTAGGACGTTCACACGCTCTCCTTTCTCTCACTCATCAGCTTTTCATTGAAAATCAATTTAAAATCAAAGTATTATTTAAATGAGTCAAACATTTAAAACAAAAAACACAGAATATTGGGAACAAAAATAATTAATTGAATTTGTATTGATCACTAAAACTAAATTTGTTTAGGGAATAGCATTCATATATTGTGCATTCATTTTGTTATTGCCGTATATTCTAACACAATATTAAGAATGAATTTCTATTGTACAGTATTACCTGTATATTGGATTCCTATATGAAATAATGTTAGATTTTTAACAATATATTAATTGTTAATATATTAGATGTTATCAAAACTCAATCACAATAATTGTTCATAAAATGACTCAAAATATATTGTAATTCAATTGAAAAGTAATTCTTATGAATCAAATTCGGTTACAATATTACAGCTATAAATTATAAGTATCTTATTAATACTTTAAATGAATAAAGCAATTAATAAAAACAACATATTAATTTTTGAACGTTTAAAAAATAATAAAAATAATAATTAATATCCTATTTATGAATTCTATCTAAATATTATGTCTTAATTATAAATAAATTAAAACCAATTAAAGTATTACAATTAAACTATAAAAGAGTAACTTTTAAAAAATTGTGTATTAAAGGCAAAACAGAGGTTAAAAAATTAATAAATCTTATTTTAAAAATTCGCTTAAATATATAGCAAAACGCAAATTGAAGGCAAATTCACACGAATTAGATTTTTGATACTTTTTTTCTTAGATATGAAAAGATATGTCGAGTATTTTAAAAGGATTTGCTTAACAGATCTATGGCTTGCATTTGAATGAATAGCTTGTAATTAAATAGTTGTATAGAATATCATAATAAATTAAGACATGTATGAAATTCAGGCCAGTTTTGGGGCCGACCTATCATTAGAAGCGGACACTTTACGCAATGGTTTGCCGCGTCTAATCTGATCCATAAGTGATTCCCGACACAACTTAACCTCTTGTGGCAATTGAACCGAATTGAACCAACTGTTGACTCGGGCGGCGATTGCACTCTCGAAGGAGTCGGCATTTGTTGGCAACCGATTCACTGGTTTGCATGTTTCGTCATATTTAGTTTGCGATGAATTACAAATCGCTTTATTATTGCTTTCGGAAGGCATTGAACTATTGTTTTGACGGACATTATAATCACTCGAATAGGGCTGACCTATTGGCTGCTGAAGTGATTGGCGATCGTTTGTTTCACCGCTAGGTTTACTGGCATTGGTCGGCATTTGTCTCACATTTTGTTTATCACTAAAACTCTCATAAGTCGGTTGTCTGGCGGTTGTGTTCATAATCTTGATCCCCATCGTTGGTTGAGAACTACGTCTTTGGAGCTGCTGTTGATGCAAAACCGGTCCATAAATCTGTTGTTGTGTTTGTGGCTGTTGTGGTATAGCCTGATATAAGGGCTGACCAATTGACTGGTACTGAACAGCTGATTGCGGAACATTGGCTAAGTTAAGAGCAGATCCACTAATACTCTGATTCATTTGGTGAAAGTGGTTCTGGTATTGAGTGGTAAGGTTAACGTCGGGAACAGATTGTTTGCGTTGCATAGCATTAGCTGCGGCCGCCTTCGCGATCTCATTCTGTTGTCTCAGAGCTAACCTCTGGTTAAGACTCGCCATAAGACTCTCGCGATCACAAGACGCCAGAGTAAAGGCAGACGACTTCTTTCGGGCCACTTCTGGTGATTGTCTTCTATGGCGAGACGATGAGGTCGACGAAGTGGATGACGAACGCGAGTGATTGCCAGTCATGAACGACATGAGAGTTTGTTGGATGGATTGGGTGGGAGGTGTGGCACGAGGGCTGACAGCGCTGTCGGAGTTCCACTCGTCGTCTCTGTTATGAGTGAGAGAAACGCTGCGCCTTTTGGCAAGACGGGGACTGATGTGTGATTCGGGTCTGAATTGTCCTAATTTGTTGTTCAGGGTCTCGAGGAACTGGCGGTGAACGTTAGTTATCTTATTGTAGTGATGGCTATGATTCGATTCATTGTCTGAAAAGGCTTCTGGTGGTGGCGCTGGCAGTGGTAATGGAGTCGACTGTTCATCCGTCGTATGAAATGGATTAGTGTGTTGTTGTACTTCACGTGTCGGTGCGCTTTCAAACAGATTCTTTGTCGAGTGGTATTCACTGTTTCTGTTTTGATTCAAATGTTGTGTAGACATGGATTGCATGTGAGAAGTGTTGGAATAAATGACTTCTGAGGGGCGTCTATAGATCTGTTGCCGAGGGGTATCAATTGAACTGAGATTTTGTAGCGAAAGAGTCAAACTATTGATATCTTCATAAGTAGAGTAAGTTTTGCTGAGATTCTGTATTTCTTCGTATGTGTTGACGCCAGCGGTCTTCAAAGTGCCTAAAGTTATAGCGTTTGGGTTGGAGAGGGTAGACGTGCGCCGCTGAGGGGGCGGAGGCGGAGGTTTCGATGAACGGGTAATGGTTAGAGTGGACGCACTTAAAGAGATTTGCTGAGGAGACCTGCAAATAGCCATAAGCGCCCAATAGTCCACTTCTATGAGAGTACTCGTTATCAATGATAGACACATAGAAGTGATGCTTTAGTACTAGAAATCAGTTCAATTTGATTATTTTTAATTTGTATAAACATTTTTATTTTGAATATTATTTTCTAATCAATTATAATACATTAATCACTATTTTATATATTGTACCCTAACTTGTAAGCATAATACGGTAATATTAAAGTTGCTTTAGTTTTTATATTACAATTATAAGAAATTAAATATTTTCTGGATCAATTTAATTGACAAGTCCTAGACATAATAAATGAAATGAAATAAATAATAACTTGAGTTTATATTCTTTATAAACTGTAAAAAAAATGTTTTCAGTTTATCTAATTGCAAAGTTTTATCAAATTATTCCATATATTAAGATAATACATTATATTTTCAAGTATTTTTTGAAAAAATGGTATAAAAGGCTAAGTTTTCGTTACAAAAATAAAAATGAAAAATGAATCGACTTTTGGTAAATAAAAATAATCTAATAATGAATGCATTTTTATAAATAATTGATGATTTAGAAATAATTTGACATAAAGCTGATTAAATAGAAAATTATAAAATATTACGGAACAGTATTTTATAGTGTTTAAGATGTATAAAGGGCTTACAATTATCAAATTGCATCAAAGGATTGGGAGTCCACAGACTGTCTCGAAACCATTGGATCCAGAGTTGACTCTCAGTCTCGGAATTTGCCGACAAATGAATGATCGCTTCGTTGTGATCACAGATTGTAAACGAATAGTTTTGAGTCCGAGATCTGAAGATATCAAATATTTTAGAAATTAATTCATGATCAGTAAAAACAATATTAGATCCAAACGTTTGATGACTTGCCTGCACCGGAAAATAGATGTATTTTGCGGTTTAAAATTCTTGCAATAAATAATATTTTCTGATTTTTCATGTCGGAATAGAAANTGTCGGAATAGAAAGAGATTGACTGAAACAATGCCATCATTTGTTGGATCAGCTATTGTCTCGAAGCAAATCCATCGTTTACTCCACACCTTGTATTGTCCAACAATTGGACCCAATTTTAATGATAGCTTCACATTAAGATATCCTGACTTCGACTTCACAAAGTTATTGGATTGTAAGTCCATATGAATTGATTTCAAAATTATTTTGGCTATAATTGTGACAACTATTGTATTATTGCAAGTGAATGCTCTAATGTTAGGAATTACAATAAATTCCTAATTTGACCTGCTCATATACTGTACTAATCTATTCATTTTGTTTTCAAATTAACTAATGGGAATTACTATACACATGATTATTGATTATCAAATACCTTTGACTGATATAATTTTGTTTATAAATAAGTTTAAAACAATTGTTTCAGATCATTCACTTTGAAATACTATTGCAATTGATTAATATTGTACTTTTACTCAATTGTGTGATCAAAAATAATTTAATTTATCATATACCAATTTATCATAGCTTATCAAATCTATGAATGTTATTGTTGTTACTGTACTATTGTTTTTTGTTTTAATGACTTATTTAAAAATCAATAATTTATATATTTAATTTAATGAATTTATTATTAAGCTATGAAATATATAAATTATTGTTTATTTATTTAATTGTTTTATTAGTTAAATAAAATTTACAATATTATTAAATAACAGGATGTTTTGGTACAATTGTAATTGTTTTCAAGTTTAATTTAATTAATTCCTCATTGTGTTAACAATTGTTTTGATGATAATGTTTTAACCATATTACAATACTAATATAATTTGCATTGAAATTAATCTATTTATTAATTCCTTATTGTTAATATTATTTTTAAACATTTCTATATTTAAAAATAGCGTTAATCTAACTTATAAAATAAACCATTGAATAATCATACACTGTAAGGCTTTCAGTAAATATTTTGTTTTCTTCATATAAACTCTAATTTTAATTCATTAAAAATTCAAATTTATGCAAAATTCAAATTCAAACTTACACAGTTTAAAATTCTAATTTACATAATATAATTGAATGTTATATGAAGTATACAATCAAATCAATGGACAACAAATTTAGAGTTTAATAAAGAAATTGATTAATCTTTATTTGAATTGTATTTTATGCATTCGTTCAATATTAAGATAATGTACATTCTTAATACTGACCCAAACCTAACCCATACCCTAAGCCAGTTTGGAATAGAAATGTAAAACTGACATCAGATAAGGAATCGGTGTATAGTTTATGATAAATGAGACTTGAATTGAAAAACAAAATCATCGATTTCTGTCAAAATCAGTCTCTAAAGTGGTAAAGTGTCGGATCCGTTTCTGAACCAATTATAGGATATCTGTGCCGAATAGGCGAATGCAACGGCACCCAAAAACCCCAACAGCTATCATTGTATAAAACATGATTACAATTGATTTATAATTACATTTTATGACACAATGAACACTCACTCCGGCTATAATATACGCCACTTTAGGTCCCGCGCCGTCACAACTGACAAACACTATAAGTATTGATGCGATGGTCCACAAGACCACAGCTATGGCTTCATTCACTAATAACTAACAATTAAAATTCATTAATAATTAACAATATACAAAGTATAAGGCAATTATAGTGAACATACAGTGAGCGGAAGGTTGATATATTTGGCGACCTGTCCTTGAAATCTGGTGCAAAACAAGATGAGGACAACGATTGAAAAGACTAAAGAAGCCGAGGCTATGAACACAAAGAAGCTGACGCTTCGGTACCACTGACACCGAGGGATCTCAACTAATATGAGGCTCAACAGTGCGATCGCCTATTCATTCAATGAATTTTAAAATTTTAATTTTAATTTTAATTTTAAAATAACAAAACCTTACAAATTGTGAGATTCTGGCCAAACCGTACTTAGTTGTGGCAAATTCTGTGTCAAAAAAGGGACCCTCGGTTTGGTAAGTAGTTGTCTCTGCCATTGCTTTCACTTGTCTGGCAATACGTAAACTTAAAATAATTTTTAGAAAAAAACAATATTTATGTGACTTTTAGATAAGATATAACCGTTAATATCGTAATTAAACAAATTCTTTGAATTCTAAATTAAATGGTTTAGTAGTTTTATTATAACAGTTAAGGGAATCAAACACTAATTGATATTGACTTAACATACAAATAATTGGGAGTATAAACAATCCTTGAGTAGTAAAACATAAAAATCTTTTGCCATTTTAAAGATTTCCTTAATTGGAAGTGAAACCAGAAAACGTGAACTTAATGTGCAAAATGTATTAATGTATTGAGAATGCAAACAAATGTTTTAAATAACTGCAAAATGTGTAAATTGTTAGAGATTAATATTAAAACAAATAAATAATTTATTATTTGTATAAATGTTATGATGAAAGTAATTGATAAAAATTATGAAATATTTGTATTCATAACTCACCTCAAGATCTTAGTAGTGGAGAGAGAAGACACCGCCCTATCTCTGACTTAGTCCTATGTCTTGTATACCAATAGATAGAGTAAAAGTTGGAACAAACCGTTATCGTAGGCGCTGTTGAGGAACAGTATATAAATATCTGACTTGTCCTCAATTATATAGAAACTCATTTCAGATAATTGTAAAATCCTATGAAATATTCTGAGAGAGTATTCAAAAACAATTACTATTACTTGTGAACTGATTTTCACTTATACTTAAAAAAACAATTCTGTGACAAATGTTTTAAAAAGAAAATTATTCTCTATTTATAAGAATAAGATATTCCGTATGTTGTAAATGAAATCAATACATTTATTTTGAATGAAATTTCATTAAATGTTTTCCCAAAATAAGATACGAAATAAAAAAGTATTCGTGTTTTCGTTGGAATATAACTTAAAATTTTGTAAAATATTTAGTTTAAACGAGAAGTCAATCATTAAATTTAGGATATTTTGAGTCGCAATCCCTACACTTTGCGGGGGCTCTCAGTTGGAAATATAAACAAAATTCAATAACTCGGAGATCACTAACAAAATAACAATGTTTAAAAAGTTATGTAAAATGCAGAGATTGTATGTAATTGTATTCTTACATGTTTTAATGCATTAAAATGTTAATAAATAGAAAGATTATTTGATACATCTTTGTGTCATTTTCTAAACATATCGACGATTGTCCGGATGGACAATGAAAGCATTGAAAGCATAATCAGATGGCATTAACTAAAAGTGTGGGCAAAAGTATACAAGTTTTGGTTTTGTATAAATTATAGCCACGGAGTAGGTTGTGATCCCTTTTGTAATACATGTTCTGATGAAACATTATGTAAACGATTAGTAGATTTAGTGAAAGTCTAGTGGAGAATGTGGTTCATGGGGTATATCAAGAGAAAGTAATGAAGCGATTTATACGGCCCTGTCTTAGCACTTAATGAAGTGAAGCCCAGGCATAGCACAGGCATGTGTCGGCCCAGACCTCAGACCTGCTCCACTGTAGTGTAAGATGTGTTTGTGATGGAAGCAAATGATGGTATAATGGAGAAGAAGTAGTCACTCTTACAAGTCGCACAACTGGCACACGTGGCACCAGTACTCTACCAGTCCCTACTCTATCACTAAACTACACTATTACTCTTATGCTTACTTTGCTTTTCAAGACATAGTTTGCTGTGTTTGCAGTCGGCGTAATCGCACCGATATATAAATAGATACGATTCTGTGCTCTCCCTGTCCTCCCTGTGCTCCCAGTCTCCCTGTCCTCCCTGTGCTCCCAGTGCTACGATAGGCAGGAAGTCGTCTGCATTCCATATTCACGCAACTGTTGCTCATCTCTGAGTGCTTTCCCTTCTCTAAGATATGAATACAAAAGAAAATCTCCACAAACTCTGCCCTCAACTCAACTCTTATACAGTAATAAACTTCCCGTTACTTTGCGTTAGGATTGGCTTTCAATATATTATGTAAACCGATATTTGCATACAATATACAGTAGTGTAACGATAGATAACTGTAAATAACAATACATTATTGCAATCGCTTTGAAGCCAAACAAATGTGTACTTCGATTCAATTGATTGCCAGAAATGCATTCAGTCTTTATGTCGATGTCTTTGTCTCACTTTAAATGTTTACTTTCTATACAGATATGAATAACTCATTCATTAACTCATTGATGTGTCTCTCATATCTGAGGTCCTAAGCGTTGAATCAGTGATAAGAGTTTGTGTGATATTTTAAGAAATGTTGTTTTGATGCATAAAAGTCTGTCTAAGCATTTGTTTCTTGAAAGCAATAAAAAGCTAATGAATGATAAATAGAGAGAACATTAGTTTGATTTAATGAATTCAATGCAAAGAAAAGCAATGGAAGTGTAGTTCAAGGCTAAGACAGTCTGCATCCAAGTCGGGCACTACTCCGACACCGCTCCTCCACTCTATAGACTAGTAATCATTTTTGTGTAGTTTTTGTAGTTTTTGTAGTTTTCGTGTAAATTCTTTGATTCATTTATTGATCACTTTCTCTGACATTTCAAATGTTTAACTCTTGACAACCAAAAGAAAGATTCGCTTTCATTAGTGAAAGGGAAAGGAGGAACTGGAGGGCGAATATCGCGTGCCGTTCGCGTGTCTCGTCGCGCGTCCGTAACCACAAGAAGTAACACATGTGTGAAGAGAGAGCCCTTTGCATCCCTTTCCAGCCCTTTGCCCCATAACTGAGAGCAACCTTTCACTGCAAACAACGTCCAACTCTTCACTCAAATCTATTTAAACCCTTAAACCCATTGAGGTTTTCGTTTGCGATTTGAAACGCTTTAAGATTTTTGTGGCGTAAGAAAAATAGACGAATAGGAAGTGATGCCAGAGATGTCTTAAGATGTCTTACACACAGTTGTGTGGCTCTCGAGCTCTCACTTTTGTCCATCGCTTAGATTCCATCGTCTCTCTCACATCCGGTCCTATCATTGACCCGACAATCACTTTCAGGTCATAGGCATTGACCGTAACTATAGAGACAATTCAGTGAGCTCTCGAGCTCTCACTTTTGTCCATCGCTTAGATTCCATCGTCTCTCTCACATCCGGTCCTATCATTGACCCGACAATCACTTTCAGGTCATAGGCATTGACCGTAACTATAGAGACAATTCAGTGCCCAACTTAACGCAGAAACAGGTGGACATCACTTTCATGTGTTGCCAAACACGACATATCACTATCACTGCCAACGCGTGTCGGAGGAAATAGTGGTTATATATATCACTAACAAACTCACATCTTAAAGCTTTTCCAACATTAATGAGCACATGAAGCCATGAAAAGCATCCGGTCCTCTATCCTACATACAGTATTACACACTACTGAATCAGTATGTCTTAATGTCACCACTATTTTTATGTCCGATTACTCCCTGTCCGACCAACTACTGCACAGAGGATATCCCATAATAATGGCAATCTGTAGAGCATTTGAATGGTTTTCATTTAAAATTAATTAATTAATTAATCGAAAGATTTGTGAAAATGGTTTAATAAAATATTTTTCAAATTTTATAAAAACACATTAAATTGGATATTAATACAAAAGGTCTTTTTATAAATATTGCTATGAATTTAATATATTAATAACTTAAAGACTAATCAAACTATTTATTAAACATTAAATTCCTTACAATTAAACTTCTTATCAAATGAATTTATAAACGACTAGAAAATAATTTTAGACATAAAAATTTTAGGTTATGTTATAAATGGCACCTATAGTCAAGAAATTGTTTGCATTAATGATACCGGTATACATTATAAGTGACACATTGAACTAGTCTTCACACTCAAACCATATATACTTTGCAATTGTATGCAAAAGTATATTATGATATAATAATAATATTTAAATGAGATTTTTATATTTAGACAAAAGTATAGTATAAAAATTATGTGTATTATGTGTATAGTTACAAAATAGGTTTATATATAATAACTAGAAAACACAGCAAAGTTTAATAAGTAGTAATTATTAAGTAAAAATTGGTGTCTAAAAAAATTAAGAATATTCTATAAAAACTAATATTTGGTTTGAAAAATACAATAAATGGAAGAATCAGATGAAATGCAGAATGAAGTGAATGGAAGAATCAGATCAGCCGTTAAGAGGAGGCGAGGAGTCGTCAAACAAAGACAATACGGATCTGTGTTGAGAGTGTCCGGTGTGTCGATGCAATCGCATACACGAAGATTCTTCGTGTTTGTAGAGATAGCTCTTGAGAGCAAATGCTTTACCACAGCGTTGACACACGTATGGCTTAGTGGTTGAGTGCGTCTGGACGTGGGCCCGAAGATTGCTATGAATGCAAACACACGTTCACTATCACTATCATTGCCATGATTACTATCACTACTAGTCTACTACTCCTACAACTACTGGTGACCGCATCTAAACTTTTCTTACAAATACTCAGCTCTAATGAAACAATAATAAACACAATGTGTTTACCTCTTGTCGGCGAATGCCTTCGAACAGATCGGACACTTGAACGGCTTCTCCCCTATAATCACAACATATTCTCAACTTTCCATTCAAAACACATTGACAACTAAATTATATTACAAGTGCTTTTAAACAGACCTGTATGTGTGCGTATGTGTCCCTAAAGATAAATTATATAAACCATGGTTAGCTTTCCATATTATGTAATGTATATGAAATGGTGTCATACCTGCAGAAGCCATGGTCTGCTGAAGCATTTGCCACAATAAGGACACTGACAGCCCTGACTATGGGTCCTGACGTGCATAGAGAATGCAGGCATTGAGACATAAACTTTGTCACAATGGGGACACTTTCGGGCCTTTTTATCGGTGACACTGCGATGGGTCTGTCGATGTCGGGCCAGATTACTGGAAGTACTGTATCTTTTGCCACAATCAGGACATATGTGAATGTCAGACGACAACGAAGACGGTTCCGATGATTGACTTTGCTTTATGTTATTAATAATGATATGATTGAGCGTTCAGTTCATTAAAAGTTTAAAAACAACAACTTTTTTCATGAACTCAAACTTACTTTGAGAGCTTCGGCAACACGAGAGACAAAATTGAATTCATTTACGTCTTCTCTTTTCAATTCAATGTCACTCTTGACTCTCAAGTGATGAAGTGAGAGATCCTGAGCCTCTATGCCATCCAAACTATCATCGAAATCATCGTTTTGTTCTCCAGTCGATGAATAATCTGATAATCAATCGATGAAATAGTGGGACAAAGAATTTGAGTTCAATTCTTGCATTCACTGATTATTACTAATTTTGAATTTATAACTTTTCAAGAATTACCATTAGATATAGGACTGTCGAGTTTGGACAGGGAGTCGGTGTGTGCTAACACTGATATACGATTGAAGAGACGAGCGGGTGATCCCGGACTGGAAGGCTTTAAAGCGATAGAGTCTGCATTTGAGGCGATTTCATAATCAAAGCTTTTTGAATCTTCAGCCGTGTATACGCTGTGCTCTGGACTACTCTCTAATAATTTGCAAAAATAGCAATTATTTAATGCATATCTTTATGTAATTATTTAAATATTTATTTATATTAAAATGTGTTTAAATTACATTTAAAACAAAACAAATCAAATGTGGCACAAAACGCGAGCACAGACTGCATATAATGGGCTAAACGAAAGAATCTCATTATATTTGAATTCTAGGAAAAGATTTGAATAAATACTTGTATTTGTATACCAATTATGTGTGTCTATTGCATATTAAAATACTGTATAAAGAATCTCAGGTTTACAAAACCACAATCATATTTGTTGAACAGCAATATTCAAACATTTCGTTAAAAACAAATTTATGAAAATTTAGATATTTAATACAAACATTACTATACAAAATATAATACTTTATTATATGTATAAAAATAGATTTAATTATTTTCATGCACCATAATAAATGAAAAGTTTTTACTTAATCGAGGCTTTTAATTTAAAGATTAAGTAGTTCAAAGAATTAATAATAAGTTACCCAGTTTGAAATATTCATAGATTTAAAATAATTAATAAATTCTTAACGTTGAGAAAAAAAGTAAATTTATTAAAGAATTGAACTTTTTCTAGCAAACTTGATAAAAATTAGGTGTCTTACCTCTGGAATGATGGTCAATGTGATGATTATGGTTGTGGTCCAAAATGTTAGAGTCATTGGGTATGTTTGGTAGATACCGTTTATTGGTAATTAAGAAGGCCCGGGGCATCTTTGCATTACTATAAGCTGGAGATGCAATGCCTGTGCTTTCAAACGTTTAAACGATGAGACTTACAAATAGACTTTGAATGGTGTGTGAGTGCAGTGAAAGTGCAAGTGATGAGGATTGAAGATGAGGAGAGTGGGGAGGGCTGGATAAGGGAGGTATGTGTGCATACTATGTGCCAGCAGTAGTCAGTAGTCTTTAGTTGAAAACATGTGGGTTTACGTGCATTATATTCCTCTCAATGCGTATACATTGCATACATTTGAAGACATTTGGAGAGAATCTCCATTTGGGAGAAGAGGTTATAAATAGTTTGGCTTTCGGTTACATCAGTGCTCTTACAAGTGCTCTACTGTATAGCTGTATAGCTGTATGCCTGTCACACATCACACTCTATTGCTTTTGATGTACACAAACTAAATCTTAATTAATTGAATTTAATACCCATACAATTCTTATAGTGTTTATCACAAATCTAAAACTTTACTTATTTTGAATAATTACTTTATGTAATTTTAAGAAAATTTTAATCTGGTTTTTGAGTAAATAAATATGAGATAGCAACTCTTATGAACAATTGAGTCTGAGTCGAGACATTATGGTTAGAATATTGTATATAACTTAGGTTGTTTATACGAATAACTTCTACAAACATTGATTCATATTTAATATTTCTCAAATATGAATCTCAAAGGGATTGTAATAGGAATATGTTTATTTTTAAAAATCAGAGTATAGACAGGTTATAAGCGGAAAGTGTTTACAAATACAAGATCTTCAAACTTATAATCGTTGATATAATAACTAGTAAAAATACTGCTTTAATTTTCTATTTTTAAACAAAAATAGTTTTCCAGTTCTGTTGACTCCGTTGAATATTGATTTACAAAAAATGTTCAGCTTTATGCTTTTTTACTACTGTAGATTTAGATTAAGAGTTTTGTATTAAATTTAGTATTTGTAGAGATTTAAGTTAATGTTGAGAATAGGGAGTAAAATAGAGAATCGTATGAATAGTAATGATAGGAGTGTTGCACTCATATAACTCTCTAAAAGTCAAACAACAGTTGGAATAACAGATTGTTTTAGTGTTTGACTCCAATTCGGTAGTAATAGTGAAGCAAAAGCTAAACATTGATTTAACTGCAGTTCAGAGACTGTAATGTCTTTCATCAGTGGTGTGAGAGAGAAGGTGCCAGTGATCGTCGCGCCTATACTCCCGGTTCCAGTAGTTCTGCTCAAGTGTCTCAATACAAACAAATGGTTTTGAACATAACTTTTTTCTCGTCCCAAACCAAACACTAAATGAATTAGTGTTTGAACTGATGTAAGAGAAACAGGTGGAAGAGAAATGCTGTGTTTGTCTCTCATAACCATAGAGTAGTGATAACTACGCTAAGAGTAGTGATCATTCTGTAGTGATGCCAACCCAAACACCACAGCCCAGTGCTATATCATTGCCCGCTATAACACAGTTTATTCCTCTCTCTGCGCCTCTAATCTACTGACTTGTCATCCCAGCCCTCACTGAGTGGTGAGTCGTGTGGACGACCGGAAGAAATAGGCATCACTTGCGTGGAGTCGCGCGACTATAACCGCAATAAATTTCACAACAATTTAATGGTTATGTCTTTTATAGAGTTCTCTAAACTGACTTAACTCTCAGTGAAACTACATTTTGCTTACAATTCCCAACTTATTCTCCACACTATTACTCAATACTGTTTCACAAAATTGTCAATTCTATCGCTCAACACATTCTAACATTACTGTACTGTATATAATATTTTATATAATTATTATTAATTTACAAATTACTATACTTTTAAAGTTTTCCAAGCTAATATATGAATTTCATTTCTATGTCTAATTTTTCATAATTCAATAAAAAGCAGAATATTAGTGACACTTTACCAAAATTGTAGCTATTAATACTTTAAATTTATTAAAATGTTAATTAATAAAGACCTATGATATATTAGTACACTATAATAGGATTAATTATAATAATTTATACCGAAGTTTGTAACTAATTTATATTCTGTAACACAATTTCAATGCTTTAAATATTTATGATCATTGATTAGTAAACCCAATTTTAAATCAATTAATTAAAATAATTTATTCAAACAGTTTAAGACACAGTTTAACCATTGATTTAAACCCCAATAGAATTAATTGCCTTATCTATGGCTGTAATAGTTGTCAAACTTTTGAATTCAATAATATTTCATTTGTAATTCATTTAGAGTTTAATTTAATTATAGAAATAATAAATGAGAAAATTGTTATCAATTTAAACACAAATTTGGTTGAAATGAGAGCTCATTATCTAAAGTATAATCAAAAATGAATATACATTTCAAATGAAAACCTGATTAAAAGTTAACCAAACCAGGAATTGAAGTGATCAGGGCATTTGTGCATAATCAGGGTAATCAGGGTTAAAACATGTGCCGTTTGTTGACATAATGTCGTAATTACTGGATTGGAGACCAGCTTTCAAGAGGTTTGCGATCATATCATAAGACTGTCTCTTAAGCAGCGAATGAGATATCACTGAAAAACTGGTCCTTATCTCAAAGACCACTCCTTTTTGTGCCCAAAACCTATGGATTATCTGTAGCTCTGATGTGTATTCGCAGAGTCTGTGAACTGTTGAAGACTAAGAACAAGAAGACAATTGTCGTCATATCAGTCGTGTTGGCAATGGTTTTAATCAAGTTATCGGTTCTGGCGTTCGCCTTCATCTTCTTCGCGCAGTCAGAGGGACGGGAGGTTGAGGTGACTCATGAGGTGGTGTTTGACATAAGGGTCGGCAACAAGAATGTGGGAAGTGTTGTGTTGGCGCTGTTCGGCAAACTCACCCCAAGAACCGTCAAGAACTTCATCTCTTTGGCCGATCCCAAGGGATTCAAAGGCATGTCATACAGAGGCAGCAAATTTCATCGAGTCATCCCTAACTTCATGATTCAGGTTGAATCCATTTGATCCAGTTGATCCCATTTTGTCAATGCGTTTAACATTTCGTGTCTCAACTCTATGATAGGGCGGAGACATCACGAGTGGTGACGGCCGCGGATCCGTCTCTATATATGGCGACCGATTCCCCGATGAAAACTTTGATCTCAAACACACTGAGGCGGGTCTCCTGAGTATGGCTAATGCGGGTAAAGACACCAATGGCTCGCAGTTCTTCATCACAGTGGTGGCCACGCCATGGCTGGATGGCAAGCATACAGTGTTTGGCAAAGTAGTGGAGGGCATGGATGTGGTCCGACAGATAGAAAACACGAGAACAGTCGATGACAAGCCTGTCAACGATGTGGTGATTGTGGCCACAAGAGTGCACGAAGTCTCCAAGATATTGAATATGAACGGACAGTAGTCCACCAAACAATGTCTTCCCCATTGCAATACTCCTCCAAATGGTGTCCAATAATTAATTCTCAAATGGTTTTCATATTAAAATTATTTGTAATTTTATTATCGTTTTTATATTAAAATTATGTGTAATTTTATTATTTTAAAGATTTTAAGAATCAATTAAAAATACACTCAAAAATAATTTACAATTTGTTTACTTAAATAATTTCATTCATAAATCCAGTGATTGGCCTAAAGTTGAGATGAGTTTCCGTAAAGAATAACTAAATTTTAAAACAATTAATTCATTAATTCCTAATAAATGTAGCAATTATTTGGATCCTTGAAAGTGATAGTTAGGGCTTTTGGCCACAAACTCGTCACTAATACAGCGCTTGGCGTTCACCGTCAACTCGTCCACACTTTTCACAGTCTTTTGCGTCAACTCCTGGACTTCGCAATTGATTTTATTGATAACAAACTCCATTGCCTGCCGTCCCTATTAGGCATACATGTGTTCAATCGATTCACTGCTTAAATCAACACTCAATGCAAACCTTATTAGCATTCGATGATATATTTCTGGAGACAAAGTCCTCGAAATAACTACTGAGAGGAATGCCATGAACTGTGATCACAGCCTCTTGTTTCAGTAAAGTGCTGTTCGGTTGGTTTGGGTGCGGACTGTATGTCAGTCTCTCTATTATCGACAACTCATTGCAAAACGATAACTGTTTTGACAATTAAATATTGATTAGAAAACGTCAAACCAGTCAATGAGTGCATCAATGGATCAATGGATCAATGGATGGATTCATACATTTTTCGACTGCAAAGTCATTGTCCTATTGCTTGGATCCACTTCGGAGTGTTCGCTCGCATAACACGTCCGATCGGTTCCTAATATCCTTTGCGCCCAATTGGGAAGACCCCACTCGCAGCTGATTAACCGGTGAGTCCTCATCACACCAGTCGGTCCGATGTCCCGATCGATCACATCGATGCCGACCACCGCCGGGTTCATAGGGTTCGGGTATTTACGCCAAACCGCCTGAACTACTGTATGCCACGGATGGCTATACCATAGCAACAAACATCTGTCAGTTATACCACTAAATACCGGTAAATGTATGAATGACTTACGAGAATGTGTGCTCTGATGTCCATATCTTCATATTGGGATCACTTCAACACAAATGACAAATCAAATGACAATTAATACAATAGACATCATAATAGACATCATTTAACCTTCAAATACATTATCATTAAACTAAATGCCATTTCATTCATACATTGAATACATTTATGGCATTCATTCAACTATTTTATAAAATCTTTAAATATCTGACAGAAAGGGTTAAACCACGTGATTGTCATCACTTGACAACTGATCCGATATTGACAGCAAATGTGGCAATCATTGGACCAATTGGTGGCT